TTGTTACTCTCATTGCCACCCTAAATAATTTGGTTATTTTGAGTCTCAACTTGTTTGTTTAAATCACTAACATTTAGGACTACAGTTGTTCGATCATTAGGAGGGTTTGTAGGGGTATTTCCACCTTGTAAGGGGCTAGCGGATTCCATACTATCCTTATTATGATCCACATCAGCATTTTTCTTGTTTAAATCACTAACATCTAGTACAGCAGGTATACTCTCAATACGAGGGTCGGTAGGGGTGTTTCCACCCTTTAAGGGATCAAGGGATTCAATAATATCCTTATTATGACCGTGTTCAACATCCTTATACGGAGTCTCTATATTTTCAATCCCTTGTTCTAGACCCATGTTCAAATCCTTATTAGATTGAGGGCCATTTTTCTTGTCATCACCTACAGCAAGGTTAATAATATTAGAGGGGTTCATTTATTCCTGCCTATTTTCACCTAGTTCCTCCACCCCAAGACTTTTCATGTTCATATTATTAGTCTTATTAGAAGAGTTTCAAATTAGGGTGGACCACAAAACATTCATTAATTGAGTGACCATGGATCTTACAATGGTTACAAAAATCCAGCACATTCTCAAACTTAACCTTTTGTCAAGAATCCTAGCAGCCAAAGGCCTAGACCTAGAAGCGATTGCTTGATTTGTTTGCAATGGTGAACCGAAAATAGAGCAAGAGCATAAAAAACAAGCGGATTGAAAAAATGAAGACACAAATTCAAAAAAGATAGCCAAATCGGAACCACCAAAGATTCCTCCTCCATATCAAAATACGGCATACATTTCAACAAACCTCATATGATAGTTATTATTATAGTATGATCTTCTTGAAAAAATATGATTGTAATCTAGATCATTAGATTGTTGCATAAAAACATTTCTTGGATCAAGCAAACCAAGAGAGAAATTATCCAACATTTTTAAGTTACAAAAAACCCACGGATGATATCTAGGTTAGGACGACAAACTGCGAACTTACCAACAAGAGTGAATTTAAAAGGAGAAGCTAGCTTCATAACATCCTCATCATAAAATCATAGGAAAACCTTTTACATAAGATTTTTTTATACGAAAAATCCATATCATTTGCATCAGAGTTACATGACACTACATCTCTAAAATATATAGTAGAAGATAATTTCTCACCATCAGTTGAAGCAAAAAACCTAATTTGGAGAATTTCTTAGCACCTATAGGGGAGCCCTAGGGATTTTCCACCGCCTTCAAGTTTTCCATGGGATAAGCCAAAGAAAACCTAAGGCCAGAATGCCCTAGGGCACTAAATCTAAAGATCCAAGCAATATAGACAAGAAAAATGACCTAAGAAATCAAGGGTTTACACCAGGAAAAAAAATGGGAAAGGAAAAGTCACAAGAGCACTTGGAAGCAAGAGGTGGACGCTCCAAAAAACTTATTGAAATATCTTATCCACATATGTTGAATATCTTCTTCTAATAAAAATACTTTTTGATCCTAAACTAGATCTTTACGTCTCCTATTTCTTTACTTGGCTAATTAATACATACATTTTTGCCAACAGGCCTCTCTATATCTTTCCCAATTTTTTTAGCTTTACATATAAACTAATTTTTATAACAAAGCTTCTTACTTTTTATTTATATATTTATTTTTTTATTCCATCACCAACTATTTTTATCATTAGATGCTTTGACTTTTGATACTCAAAATACATATTTTGTAACATACTTAACATCACTAACTACTTTTTTAATATAACATTAATTTCTTCATGCACAATCAAAATCTTGAGATATTGAATTTTACTCACAAAAATATTTTTATTAGTAATTTTTAAAGGCCTCTTCTAATCCTAAGATAATATTTTAGTTTATTTTTTATATTTTGCTCATTCATCTTAAAGTTCAAAACTAATAAATGATGTTGGGTTCATAAACTTTCACTTGAAATGACTTTACAATATTTCCAATCTAAACGATTTGTTTTTCTTATTAAAATTTAATCAATATGTGTTTTATTATATATATTTTTATAAGTGATAAGATATTTGCCTCTTTTCTTAAATAAGATATTAGTAATTATAAAATCATAAGCTGAGGCAAATTTAATATTGTCCTACCACCTTTTATTAATCACTCTAAACTCATAGACATCATTAATACTTTTAAAATATTTTACCACTCTACATAAATCTCTTTCAATAAAAACTTTTTCTTCAAGAAATATCCATTGTATTAATTATTCTAAGTCATTCAAAAATTTTAATTTTGAACACATATTCAAACATATTTGAGGAGCATAAATACTTATAATATTAATTATCTTAATATCAACAATATTCTTTAAAGTTATAATTATATCATCAGTTTTATTAATTTCTATAATATTATCTTTCAAGCTCTTATTTATATTTGCACATATATCATTTCTAATATGACTCATACTTGAGTACCATAATGTAAATCCTAACCTAATAATATCCTTAATTTTTTTTTCAAACCCATTTAATTTCCTGAATAAATATAATATTTATTTTCCTATAAATCACAATATTTAATAATTCTATTAATATGATTGTAAGAGAACCTTTATTCCAGAATTTTAACCTAATCCTAATTTCATAAACTAACTTCTTAGCCCGCTTCTATTCATAATGTGAAGACCCTTGTGCAACGAGCCTTGCATCCCTTTTATTGTATTCAAGTCATAGAGTGTCACTTCTAGAGAACACCCTAGCATAAATTAATAAAGTATAGTAAAATTAAAATATAAGTTAAAAAACATAATTATATTCATAAATTGATTTTATACTGAATAATTATATAGGCTCCATTATATCAAAAGATCGAAATGAAGCACAAAATAAAATAAAATTGATTTTGTTAAATTTAAAAAAGTGTGAAAATTTTGAGAGAATTTTATTGAAGAAATTTTAAATATACTTTTTGCAAAATTTGAGTATTATATCTAATAACTCAAGGGTCAATAGTCAATTCATCATCAGTCCCACCGGGCTTGAAAGAATATCAAGGAAATCTGATAGAGCGGAATGAGTTGATAAATGTTGAATTAATCTCAAAAAAGTTTAAACATGATTGAATTAATATTTTTGCACAAATAGTATAAACATGAGAGCATACAAATGTAATAACATCTATTACTTTATCCATCAAAATATAATTTAAACTTAAAACTACAACTCATTTATGAAATAATATATATATATATATATATAAAGCTGATATGCGGGGCAAAACTAGTTTCAAAAGCTCTTTCATACAAAAATGCATCAAAAGTGCAAACATCTTTACAAAATAGCAAGTCATTTATAAATATCTTGTACTCTCGATCCAATTTTATACCCCTTTGATGCAGGACTACGTATGAATGCAATCAATTTATTAGGAAGTTGCACAATCCTTGATTAGAATAAAAGTGAAATATCTATTAGCAGCTTAAACAACGAAATAAAACGAACAAGGGGCCACACCCGCTTAGGCTAAATCACATAACAAGAGCTTTGAAACCTTCAAGATAAATTAAAAAATAACATGATGCCATAGTAGTAGCTTCAGATAAAATACCTAATCTAACAATAAGAATTAATAAGCATAGAGACACACTCAAAACCCTACGTTTATTAAGCTTAGCAGAAGCAGGGAGAATCGTCCTTCGTAACTACAATCAAGCACAAGATAAGATTAGACTTAAGAAATATGTTAAAAGAGGGAAAAGAGAACCTCTGTCACGGGGCGGTGGAGATCCTCCACTCGATGCCTTCAAACTGTTCTTCGATTGCCTCCTCCAAAGTGTCCAGAATACACTACCATGTAATCTTCAACGGTGTGATCAACCCTTGTATTAACGTCAAAGAAGGTTGACTGTAGAATGTCGACGAAACCGCCCTCCTTGTAGGTTAGGCCGTACTCAGTTTCCGGATCCGCCATTCATAGATGCTAGGTGACAAATCTCCTCTCGCCTTGCTAGGGCTCTTAAGTATGATTGAAGAGAAAAAAAGTTTCTCTTGCTAAATGAAAGAAGGAAGAGCCGAGACAGAAATATGAAAGAAGTTTCAGATTTTTGGTATAAGGGGAGGAGAGGAATTTGAGAGAGAAGATCTCAATTCCCAAAATCCGGGGAGATTTAGAGAGAGAGAGAGAGAGAGAGAGAGAGAGAGAGAGAGAGAGGTGCGGCGGTATGATGAGGGATAGGGTGGGAATTGATTTCCTAAATCAATTATTTGATTTAGGAAATAATTCTGGAATTAAGGGATTTGGAAAATTCGGCCAAGAGGAGGGTGGGAGAAATTGGACTTGTTTCCAAATGGGGGTAGAGGGATTAGGAAATAAATCCTAATCAGCTCCTATAGGGGCCGGCGGCAATATAGATTAGGGGGAGCAATTATTGGAGGGGATTAAGGCTTTTAGAATTGGGTCTTGAGATTAGGAAAGATTTATTTAAAATCCCCTTGAATTTAAAATTCATAATAGACCTCAAATAAATACTTTCCTAAAATAGAAGAGTTAATTTAGGAAAGATTTTGAAATCAAATTCAAATTTTGAATTCCAAAATTAGCCCAATTAATCTACTACCCAATTAGGAAACACAATTGGAGAAGAGGAGTGGGTAGAGGGTCTAGGCCGGCGGCTAGGGAATTGGGGCTGGTGGCATTGGGGTTCAGGTATGGGATTTGGCCGTGGGGTTGAGAGGGGATGAGATGGGCTTGGGTGAAGTGGGAAACCGGCGACCAGGTGAGGGTGGAGGGGAAAGGAAGGGAGAAGGAGATACAAGAATGAAACTACGAACCCGACTTATCTATGTTGGTGGGTATTGCGCAATTCTCTCTCTCCTAAGGATCTCTCTCCATTAGAATTCTCAAGCTCTCACAAGAACTCATGCAAGAACAAATTTTGTAAACAATCATTCATTACTTGAAAAATAGAACATGGGGCTATAAATAGCCTAGTACATGAGACTTAAGAAATAAAAGATGAAAATGCCCTTTGAGCTTATATACGACATCTCTCATTAAAAAGGTACAACTGAAAAACTCATAAAACAAATACACAACACTGAAAATAAGAACATACATGAATAAGAAAATAACATAAATAAATCAAAAATACAAAGAGTCGATCGTAGCCATAGATCGGCGGCCACGCCTTTGATAGACCTTCCACGAACTGATGTCCCCATCACCCTTTGTGTTGTCTTTTGCATGGCCTTCACCTACATGTGAACATGTTTGCAATGCAACGGCATGCAGGCTGTGTAAGCACAACTCTTGGTTCACATTGTACTTCTCAAAATTCTGCATATGCATCACTATGTTAACAATGATGACTCGGCCTGGACCTGAGTTCACGTTTGTGCATATACAACAATAGGCATATAGGTATACAAGAATGGAAGGAGAATATAAATATGGGAAAAGCTAAATTAGCTGAAAATAAAGACCACAATTCATCCGCATGCAATGAGTCATGTTTTGGCGATTTTTAATGTTATTTTAACATTGCTAATAAAATATTTACCATTTAATCCCACAACTTGAAAGGTCATAAAAGTTCCCAATCTTCCTTTGACATATCAAGATTTTCAAGCTCTCCATCTTCTCTTAAAATCTGCAGCAATGTAAAAACATTTGTGTCTATGCATCTTCACAATAAATAAATTTAAAACTTTATATAATCAAACAGTAGATTTCCTTACAGTGTGCCTTCTGGTGTGACAGTTGAATTCTACTATGACTCCTCCAAAGTACCTGCAACACTCGCAAAATCTTCACTTAGGATTCACGATCTTGGCAGTTACAATATTGATGTAAACACACTAGTTCGAAAAGCCAGAACAAGAGAACAATGGACAGAACTTAACCAGTCTTGATTCAAATAGCAGCATTCATCTATAACATCCAAAATCCGACGAGAAAACTAAAAGAGAATTCAAAGAAACAAAGAAAATAAAAACAAGCTATCCTCAGACAACCGTCAGAGCGGGTTCCTCACATGCATCGAAATGTAGGTTAAGTAAAATAAGTGTTTTAGGGTTAGCAAACCGGTGGTCCACCACTGCACGATCAATCCAAACTCCTCCAGCAAATGCTCCCAAATCAACCAACAAACACCACCAAAGCTCAAGAAGAAGGATACAGATGGAGTGGAACTTGCGGAGAGACGAAAGAGGTTAGAAGCCGAGACGAAGGGTGGAAAAGAGCTCGCAAGATTTCCAAAGAGATAAAAGAAGAAGAGATGGAATAAGCTCGCAAGCTTTTCCAATAACCCGCAGGTCAATAGCAAAATGCTCTCAATATTCAACTACCCTCCTTCACAAATCATCTCATATTTATAGGTAAGAAAGGGGAATGCAAATAGCCACTTCAATGAATTTCCACAAGGACCCAAGCATCATAAGTCATGGAATTCCCCCACCTTTTCACGGAAAAAACAGCCCAGCCAGGGAACCGAAGAAGCAGCCACGGGAATCAAAGAGACCCGCACAGAACCGAGGCGCCAAAAGACACGGAAAGGCCCCCAACTCGGAAAACCATCAGCTAGCTGGAAAACCAAGGGGGCCATGGCACGGAAATCATCCAACACAGAAGCCCAAAAAACAACCACGGAATCCCAAGGGACAAGGGTTTATTTTAAAGAAGAAAAGGGAAGGAGAAGGGACAAGACCACTCCAATAATGAATCCAACTTATGAGCTTACCTTTAGAACATTAATGAGCTATTAAACTTCAGCTCATCATTAATGAGCTAGCAACTAAGAAAATGAGCTCATCTCCAAAGAACCAACCTCCTTCACACATCACCATAGGCTCCAAAACCGTGGACCATAAGCCCACCCGTGAACCAGCAGCAGTCAAGGACCAATCGAGCCATTAAACCAAAGGTCTACCAAGCCCCAAGCACTACCTGCCATGATCATTGGATGCTTTCCCATCATTGGATAGCTAAAAAAGGAAAAGAACATAAAAACAAACTAATGTTCAATATAAAATAAAAATACAGAATATTCGATAGCATCAAATATCAAGCAGACAAAAGGTTAGCTAGATTGTGCTGAATTCAAATGGATAGATCGATCCTTATGTTGGGATGAGAAACCTTTACTAATTAAACCCATGGATAACTAAATCATTATAAAGCTTGGTTTGATATTTCAACTTACAGAAAAATCATATAGATATCAAATCGGTGACTAGAGCTTTCTGAGTCAACATCGCTGATTCACCCTTGGGTTTATGAGCTGAGACTGATCTCTCCAATTTGGGCCTTAAGTTTGTTGGGTTGAAATCCGGCACTTGGAATTTTTAAACTACTTCAATGCATTTTAAAACCCTTCCCTCGGGCTTGCTCAGTGGAGTGGGCACCTTTTGACTCAATCTCTTGAGCTCTGTTGATCTAGGACATTCTGTGATCTAGCCGTTGGGAAATGCAAGGTTTATTGCATCAACTTTTATAGCATGCATGACTTTTCTTAAAGTATTGAGTATTAATGGGTGGCATGAGGCACACTCCACCAAGCCAATGACATAATATACTCCTTAATATCTTTTTTTTTAAATAAAAATGAGACCTTCCTAGTTCAACACAAAATCTTCACTACATCATGATGGAATGAATGATCTATAGAGTACCAATACTTGCCCCCTTGGGCGGGGGCAAAACATATGTTATAAAACCTAGTCACCATTGCACAATAGCTTTCTAAGTTCTGTTTACATCACACTTTAACTTAAGACTTTGAGCTCATCAAGCCATACAAGGGCGTTCGGCCCTATGAGGCCGTGTTATATGGCAATGATAAAGTAGGTTTAGCTGGATCATTAGAGGGTTGCATCTTCGAACACGAGCAAATAAATGGTCATCTTAGTCAAAGTATTGTAGGTTGCACTGAACATTTATAAAGCATCTATTAGCTTGTGTCATTCTCCTTTATATTTCCTTAAGCAACATGATAGGTAAGTACTGTCATTCAATGCGCATCTTTAGTGAACTAAAAGACGAGGCTCTTTTGAAGGTGGATATGATTTGACATGGCACTTCAAAATGAAAAACACTATGGCCTAAAAAATGCATATACAACTATTGGAGAAATTTTGTCATCCTCAACAATTGAGATATTTTGTGATCGAGCACGGCATATAAAATAATATATTATCCCGAATGACAAAAATATTATTTCGCTATGAACTCAATAATTAAACTTACATTTTAATTTTAACAGAGATTTTCCCCTACTTAATATTTGGTTGAAGAAGGTTTATTTTATTCTAGGGAACAAATGCCCCAAAGGGGCAAGTCCCTATGATTAATTACATCTCAAGCATTTGTTACTTGAGAACACTTTTGACTAAACTTGTGGTCATTTTTGAATCATTAAAATATCGGCTAACATTATTATTTTTTAAATTTGTGAAATTCTTGCTCAAAAATTTGATATTTGGGAATTTCAAGGATGATGAAATCAACTTTAAATTAGTTTCTATGAATGGAAGTCAAAGGAAAGAAAACCTAGTACTTGATTATGAGGAAACTCTGACATACTCAATATTATGGACTTTACATTTTAAAATTAGATTTTTGTTTAAATTAACCAATTTGATTTAGAATGTTGTGGCTTATATTCCAACAACACATGTCGAAAAAAAGCCCTGAATGTGAGAGCTTATGAAGTGACTGAAAGTCAACAACAGCCTTGGATCCTAAATCTAACGGAGTGCAAAGGACTTCCAAACCTACACCTCACAGAAGGCATAAGTCAACCCGACTTCTGGATTTACAACTCTATCTGGAAAAGACTACCAGCTAAATTCACCTAAACTCTTTTAAAACCATGTAGTCTGATTTCAATGCGTATGAAGAGTTAAGAAAGTTATTTTCATTAAGAAGATAGGACTTACAACTTGGTTTTTAGGCTAAGATGCTGCTTATGTCGGTATGCATATGCTGACTCACTGAAATATAGATTTTTTGTCATTTGGTCCTTAAGTAAAAGGCTTTCAACAGGTGACACTGGCATGCATGATCATTTTAATTCTTTTTTATTTAAAAGTGTGGCTTATTTGAGTATGCCATTCAATTTTTTGTAGAAAAATGCATATTGTCCTGTGATTGATTTTTTTATTTAAACATTTTAAATGGTAGAAAGCTTAATTATGTCCTAAGAGCCTATCATGTAACACATGTCCAAGCCACCGCCAAGCAAAAGCAAATGAACAAACCCAAGAAAAAACAAGCATTTCTAATGTAAACTTAGTAAATAATCAAATATGTGTGTATATATATAAAATCAACTAGAAACAGGAATGTAAATAATGTCCAAATTCTTACAACCATTATTTATAACTAAGTTGTCTGTCATTATACAACTCAATCAAATTATTTTTTTATAGGCTCAGCTAATGGGTCTTCAAGCTTTAACTTCTAGATGAGTCTTGGGCTTCACCTATGATAGGCTCATCCTTTTGATCCACCTCTCCTATAACTATATCCCATAGTCTTAACATACATCTTAAGTCTAACAAATATATTTTTAAATATAAAAGACTCAAGTATGCAAAACAGGAAAAATATTAGAAGCAATTTATATGACAGCAGTAAACATCACAAAATTGTCTGAAACTTAAAGTGTCAAACCATGTTTCTACCCTATTGGTCGTGTCTTCTTAGGGGGTTTAAGCAGCGCCTGCAAGCAAACAATGTTAAATAATCATGACTTATTTTTCACCCCCTCTTGGATAGGACTACCTGTAGAAAAAGCAAGTATATCTCTTATATCCACTTCAGGGCAAGTGCCCACAACACAGACAATCCAATATGCATCACACCATAACATCAACCACATGCGCAAAAAAAAGAAAAATCATAATCCTAGCATACTTAAGGATTGTTCACCTATGTGTGTGTCGGCTGTCCATATTGAGGTGTTTTATTTTGTTGAGGAATATAAGATATTTAATCTTAATCCATGGGTGATTTCACTTTAAGTTGTTTGTGACTTAAAGCTTTTATTTGATTTTTATTTGTTTCATATTTAAAAGGGTTATGAAGAACCCATAAAACTGCTACTATTTGCTTTGAGGAAAGTCTGCTACTTATAAAATCTTAAGATTCAATGATGTAATTATAAGCATTCCACCTTTTGGATAGGATGGATGATTAATCATTGTATCAAAGAAACCTAAGTAATTTTTACTAATTTTTATGTTCTCTTAATATTTGGATAAGAGAAACATCCACCTAATAAAGTAAGGTAGGCATGCCTAAGGATTTGACTTAGGATTTTGTGAAACTCGCCTAATAGAGTAAGATGAATTTCAGCAAATGGAAGCTCTTAAAAGACACCTAAATGTTATGTTTTACATGTCATAAGGATATAGAATTATTTATTTTGTTAAGTCAAGGGGTTAGAGTTTTTGGGTCTAAGGTTGAAAATTTTCTAAGGCTTATTGAGCCTATGAAGTGAGAGAAAATTTGTAACTTTGAGGCTAAAAATCAAGAGTTCTTTGGACTTTTAGATATCCAAAGAAAGGAACTCATTCATCTAACTTAGATTAGGAGAATGAAAGAGATAAGATCTATATTCCTATGCTTGATGCGGAATTATTTATTGATTTTGACTCAACAAATGCAATGGTTAGATATGAATCTCCTGCAACTTTGATGTTGAGGAGAAAAGGAGAGAGGACCTATAACTTTTGGGCTAAGCTAAGAGAATTTTCTAGGACTTTTGAATCCATAGAAAAGAAAAGTGA